AAAGTCAGCGCCAAAAGGCGAAATGCAAGGCAAGCCAGGCGATGCATGTTGATTATTTTTATTGCAATTGACAAAGCTCGGAGAAAATGCCAATGCAAAACTCTTGCGGCGGGTAATTCCTTTGTAATTGACCAGCTGCCGTTGCTTTTTGCTGTTTCCAATCATTGTTTCCGACTTTTTAGGCCATAAAAACTTGACAAAATTAGTGAATGTACTCGACTGATTTGTGGGAGTTTCATAATTGATATATGGTAAAATGTATGGCCAAGTACAATACTCTAAACAATTGTAAAGTTTTTAGGTACTGTAAAAAATGTTAATTTTTTAACGACGAATATTTATCAAACCTACCCACCTTAAATTTCTTGCTTTTAAAATACATTATTATTAGTGCTCCACCTTCCTCTTCTTTCAACCTGTATCTTTTCACATTTTCGCACATAAATCTTCTGCCTCTTAAAAAGCGAACACATCGTGGGTGATCTTTCCTTTATGCGAGGCAAACAAAAGCGCATTCAATGATTGATTATCTTCCTATAATTTATTAATTTGACACCCACGCTCAGAAAAATAACCAAAATAGATGGGTTGCGCATATTTTAATAATCAACAGATAATTTCAATCATTTTGCGCGAAGAAAAACTGAGTCTGCGGAAAAGGGGGAAGGGAGTTGCATGATGATGCGCCCGCATTTGGAAAATCCATCAGAAGCGAGAGAGCGAGAAGAAAAATGATTTCTGCCGAGTCACGATAAGGCTTACAATAGTCCCGGGGAGTTTATCTTTATCCTGGCAATCGCGTTCGATTATTAACCCTCATAAATAAGGCCCTCGCTCGATGGCGAAACAGTAGCCCCTAACCCCTCGCCGTCCTTAACTCCGGTTTGCCTGCCCTAAAGCCACAAACTGTTGGCCTAGACTACTATTTTTTTATTGGCATGTGCGTGTGCACGTAATTGCTACACTAAGTAAATTAGTATTTTGAAGGACCAAAAGCAAAACTTTTGTATTGTCAAAAGCCAAAAAAACTACATTTGTAATAGAAAACTTTTGTTTAAAATTTCTATAAGCTTATTGAATATCTTAACTCTTAAAATAAAATCTTGTTAATCTATTGAGAAAGTACTGGATGTTCTGTAGTTATACTATTTATTATTACTTAAGCAATGCTTCTTTTTAAAAATTAAAAAAAGAGAACACAATTAGCATTATTTTTCTGTGTGCACTGGGGTGCTCCTCTAATAAATGTTTTTCAATTTTCATTGTGGTTAGTAATTTCTTGGGTTGCTCATCATGCAAGACCATTGTTGTTGTCTGCGGCTTTTCGGTGAAAATAAAGGAAGCAGTGGGGAAAAATGCTTTATCATCGACTGGAGGCCAAGGCCTGAGGTTCGCCTTTGTTGGCTTATTGAGCCATAACTGCAACTTTGTTTGTTCTTTCTCTCGTTACAATTTTTTCTGTGGTTTTCCTTATTTTTTTGCTGATTAATCATGCTTTTTTATGTGGGGTTAGCTGCCAGCTGTTCTTATCCAGCGGTGAAAGTGGCTTGAGTTTGGTTTTCTTATATTTTGATAACTGAATTAACGTATTTGGGAAAATAAATTGAAAGTACCTTAAAGTGGTCAAGTTAATGAGATGTTTGTTTAAGGAAAATAAGATTAAGTTTCCTTAGTCTAATTATACAATTTCGTTTACATACGTTTTAATGGCTTCATTATTATGGCCAATTCAGGATTAAGAACTAACATATTTGTTTTCTATTCAAATCTGAAAACCGTTAAATTTAATTAATTTAACCCAATCGGATACAATTAATTTTGAGTTACCTGCACTTTTTACTGTTTTGTTAGTAACCTCCCAGATGTTCTGTTAATATCAGAACTTATCATCATCTGGCAGCATTTTTCTATAATATCCTTTACTTTTTTCCCCCAGCAACCAATTGCCAAAGTCATCATTTTTCACGGTATGCCAAAGGCACCCGCTTTTCCTGTCAAAAAATGTTTTTTTTTTATTTTTTAAATTTCCTCCCAAAAAAAAGGGAATAGAGAGGTGACCAAGCTAATGCCGTGTCCTACCATTATAATTTGAACGTTTTATTTTGTGCTGTCTCACCGAAGCACAAATGTTATAAATCATTCGGCTGGGCATATTTTTAATAGAGTTGTTACTTGTGTTTTCATTTTGTTTACCTTTTTTGGCCTTTTTTAGGGGTCGATTGTGGTTGATTTTTCTGTGTCAATTAAATGCCAGGCTAGTTTGCAATTTTGAAAAGGGTCTTGTGTCTGTAATCTTTTAATTAGCAAACATAACTCTTTTTGCGGCCCTTTTAACCTTATCTCTATTTCTTTTTTACAGGTGAGTGAACTTTTCTGAGGGATAACAAGCCAGTTAAATAATTCGAGTAAGAGAACTTTATAATCAAGCGTAGAGCAGAGAAAAAGAAAATCGTTTGTTGGCAAAGTCAAATCAAGTGAAAATCTTTTCACACCCAGAGATACAATAGAATGGGGGCGATTTCGGATAGGGGGGGAAATCCTTGTTCTTCCGCCTCAGTCTTCACTTTCGCCCGGCAAACAAAGCGGTTTTTGTGTGTTTTGAGTGGCAAACCCGCAACAGACATTGACTTTCCACTGGTTTTGGCCCCCCTCCATCGACGGGATGCCCCGAAAAACTTTAAAGAACCGAAGAAAGGAACATTGTCATCATCATCATCATCATCATGCATCAGGCAGCCCAACATTTCCTTCCGCTTGTTATAGGAGGTTTTATTCGGGGATTTTCGTGGAAGGAGGCTGAAATATCTCCTTTTCGTTTTCTTTTTTTTTTGTTTGCTAGCGTCACATTTGACGCCCCAAAGAAAAAATGGGGGGATTAAAGGGTGTGAGGGTGGCAAAACTTGCGGTCGGAAGGGGTGGCTTTTTCGAGGGACTACTGTAACCGCCTCTTGGCATATGGTTAAGTTGGTTTTTCAAAGCTCCTCGTGATTGATGGTTCTTCTATAGTCCATGCCTAGTCCTTTTTTCCTCCCTTTTTCTTGGATTTTCATCTGCACCTGTTGTCACACCAGCAAACTGGAAAAGTTGCTGAAAAGTAAAGAAGAGGCTCGAAGATGTTCCCTGCGATAGGATGGTGCTCTATAAAAATGGAAAAGGCCGGTGGGAAATATCCCTTATAATGTATAATATTGCCATTTCCTGTTGGGTTTATTTTTTCCTCGGAAAATAGACCCCAAGGAAATGGAGATTATAGGTCTATTCTGGGGTGGTATAAAAGGGGCTTAGCTGAAAGAATTTATAATAATATTACCAGTGGAGATTTTAAAAATTAAATAACCGTATAATAGTATTTACAAAAACTTTTTTTTTAATATATCTACTACTAACTTAAAATGTTATCTGATATTTAAAATAGTTAAGTTTTGAATTGGCTGTAAGTTTCTATACTTTCTTTGACAATTTACCATTGATTCGGTTTGGAGCACCCTATTACCACCCTTTAAGACCTTTGGAAACTTTCCATATATTCGGCTTAACTTTCGCTTTTCCCCCACCCAGTTTTTCCCAGTCTTCCGATGGGCTACTCCTGACATGGAAAACATCTCTAAATCTCTAAACAAGCTGCGTCTCATTTCTCAGTTCTCGATTCTCTACTTCCGAGACTTGTACGTCAATGTCAAACTTTGACAGATGCCAGCCGGCAGAGAAAGGAGAAAGGAGCTGAGAAAAAAAAAACCGAAGCATGGATTTACTTTTATTTTATTACTGTCATTGTAGCTCACTCGCTTCTTCCAGGGAAAACCTTTGGGTCCAAGGTTGCGGGGGTGCCGAAGAAGGGGGGAAAGAGTGGGTGGATGGCTGATGGGTGGGTGGCTGGCATTGCCGTTATGTGGCTTTTGCGTAAGGATACAAGCTCCGCTCATGGCCATCGTTATCCCTTTGGCTGCTTTATCATCCATCTGTGTTCTCCGGCATTCTCCCTTCTTTGTTATCTGCTGTTTAGTCAGGCGGTTTCGGTGGGGGGAAACGGAGAAAGTCTTTCGTCCTGCTCCTTCGACTGGCAGCTTTTTGGCAAGTCGTAAATTAAAAATGGCTTAATATGTAAATCCTTGCAGCTTCATTCCTTCCGTCTCTTTCCAGCCGTCTAGCTCAGATTAGTTTTGTGGATATTTCAGCTTACGCCTGTCCCTGTCTTCCCATCCATATCTCTGCATCTTTTTCTCGGACACACTGCATCCATTGTGGGGTTAATGCTGCCGGGGTCCTTTCAACCCCCCACACATCTGCTTATTTGCTCGGTTGTTTTTGTTTTCCTTGGCTGTTGCGACACTGATATGCTTGTGTTGTCATTAGTCAACAGCATCGTATGGATATATGCAAGTGAATCTTCTTGTTGTCATGTTTGTTGCAAAATCAACTTTTGGGGAAACTTGGGTTCTTATAGAATTAAATTCAAATGGATGAGGGAAACTTTGGAAAATGAAATAGTTTGCACTCGCTTAATTCTTCTTTAATGAATTAAATTCACAAAACTATCCTTAATAATCTCGTTCTCTATATAGTTCAAGGTGGACGACCTTATCTATTTGTCACATAAGCTCCGCCCTTTCATTACCCTATAAATTAGCATTAATGGCTGCCCTGCATCATTCCAATTTTCCGAAATGGATTGCCATTAATTTATTCCCTTTGCAAATTGCAGTGTCATTTAATTTCTCTCCTTTTTTTCGTATTTTCCCCGCCAATTTGCATTTTTCCTGTGTATGAGTGTGCGTGCTGTAATGCATTTTAGTAATTATTTTAGCTGCTTTTCACTTTTGTTGAGGGCAGTCATTAACATTTGAACTGAGCGTTAGAAAGAGTGGACTGGGGAATTGTACGAAATTCTTTGCCATTATTTAATTGCCTTTATGACTTTACTAGATGGAAATTAATGAATATCATTTATCAAATTAATAAATATTACTTTTTACCCGACTGCACAAGAAGAAATCAAAGTGTTTTTTTTCATCCAATAATTTTTATTGAAATATTTTTTAATGCATTTTTCGATTAATTGTATTGTAATTGAGGCACTCAATTAGCAGTGGTAATAAATGAATCTCTTTAGCTTTGAAATCTGCAGAAGAGTACATTTGTAGTCATTTTTGTGTCAATATTGTTTGGTAATATTGCACTGGTTAATAAGACTTTAGGGTTGAAAAAACTTTACAAAGTTTTCTTTCTAAACATACACTGACTTCGTAGGCCCATGGATAATTGGCCTCTGAATTCGAAACGTGCAGAGGAGATTCTTGTCAATACACAACATGGCGCCAGCATTATCGAACTCGCCGCAATAATTGGGTGCGGAAAAAATGGTGATCAGCTGGCGTTTCGCAAAGAACTCATAACCATCCTCGACGACTTGATGACCCCTGCAAATCATATTGAATCCGAAGCGGTGCAAAAACGCACCGACCACATCGGAGCCAAAAGTATAGCTAACGCCTCGCTCGTTTAGAGCCCAACCCATCTTGCGAAAATCCGGATCGGACCACAGGATATCGCATACCAATCCCGACTCTGGAATCTCCAAGGGCCTTTCAATTTTCATAATTTGTGACATGCTAAACAAATGGGGGCTCAGGCCTCCATGGCAACAGAAAATCGTTTTCTCAATGATCGCCGCCAGCGGCAAGCAATTGTAACAATCGACGAAAGTACGCCAAAGTTTAACCGTGAAGCGCCGCTTGCACTCATCGTAGAATCCGTAAAAGTGATTCAGGCTGGAACACTCGTGGTTTCCACGCAGTAAATAGAAGTTCTGTGGATGTCTGGCCTTGAGGGCCAGCAGAAGGGTCAATGTTTCGATCGACTGCTTGCCTCGGTCCACATAATCGCCCAGCAGCAGATAAACCGAGTCCGGGGGATAACCATTTGCATCAAAATACCTTAGCAGATTTATGTATTGCCCGTGAATATCACCCAGTAGATTGATCGGTGACGATAGCTCCAGTAAAGTCGGTTGCTCCAGCAAAGCTTCTCGGGCCCGTGCACAAACCATTTCGATTTCCCGGGTGGACAGCTGAAGCCCAGGATTAGGCTCTCCCAAAAGCCTTAATTTTGTAATAATCTGGTCCAGATTTAATCCCTCGTCGATCTTAAAACTACGGCTTTTCTGCACTCCTCCGACCTTATTGGTAAATTTCTTCAGCATCTTCACACGTGGAAATTCCTTTCAGCAATTTGGAATTTCGACGGGAATTTGGTTAAGTACCATTAAGTTTTTTTTTTTTGTAAGAGGTAATTTATTGTTTTTTTTTTGTTTTTTGTTTAATGTGATTGAGGTTTTCGGGTTTGTGGTTTTATTCATGGGTAAACAGACTTTTTAAACTGAAAAATATTTTGAAGCAAAGTAGTTTTAACTGCAGCACATTTTGGATATTTTATATATTACTGAAAAGATTATCATTTTTTTAGAGTACACTTATAACATTGCCTTCACATTTTCTTAAAAAATCTTGTCTAAACCAAAGCCATGATAAAGCCACATAACTGTCATTCAATCAACTAAATTTGAAGCACCAGCCGCTGCTAAACGTCCCCTCCCCCTGAAAAGCCCCACCCTTTAAATCCCCCTGCAAGTTCCCCCTCGCATTGTCAGTCCGCCCTTCATCTTTGTGTGAGCAATCGCATCCGTTGCTTTTATTTTTCAAATCAACATAATGGACACTTTGCCCGACGGCAACATCATACCGCCACCTCCCACCCCCCCATTTGGCCAACACCCCTCCGGCCATGTCCATGCATACATATAAAAAAAAATACAAAGGCAACTTCAGTTTTTGGGCTTTGACAGCTGACATAGAATGCAGAAAGCGAGCGACGCATTTTCGAGTGGGTGGGCCAATCCCCCCCCCTTTTCAACTGCCCCACACTCCTCAGCCTCTAGGGGTGGATCAAACCCCCAAACTCCCCGTTTTCCACAGTTCAGTCAGTTCTTAAGCCAAAACCTACCGCAGATGCAAATTTCTACGTTTAGTCCTTTTCTCCTAATGCAGTACAAATAAAAATTCCAAAGTTATTTATTCACAACATTTACATATATAAATAAATATTCATAAAAATAAATTTAAAAATTTAATAATCTTCCCGTATTTAATTGTCCAATAAAAAAATGAAATGAGGGCTGCATCCAGATGTTATACAAATTAAAGAGTAATTTACCCAACTGATTTATATTCCCTTATTATCCAGATAATAAAATCAAATTCAGTTATTTCCTTGTACCATTATTAAAAATTTTTTTTTGTCTCAGTGTATGTCCGTCTCTCTGTCACTCATTAAACATTTTGCTAACTGCAACTCGGAGTGTTGTTGCTGCTGTTCGGGGCTGTTGTCATGGCAAGTGTCACAACAGTCGCCTGCATTTTGTTGATTTTACGAGCATGTGACAGGCTGAGATTCTGCGAATGCATCAACCCTGAACCGAGAAATGAAAATCGAGGGGGGAGAGGAGGGGAAATGCGGGGGCTTCGGAAGCGGGCTACAAATGTAAGTCGTGTGATTAGTAACGGATTCCGCAAAGGGCGCTGCGGAAGGCGGAAAGGTTGGGGTAGCCCCAAGCACTCAGTCCTAGATCCACTCTTCGTTCTCCGTTTGAACTTCATCCCTGATCCATCAACTTGACAAGAGCATATCTGCCCACATATGAGAGCATTTTTGCGCCCATTCCCGTTCTTGTTTTCAATTCTTTGATGGAGAGTATTTTTGCATATCGCCTTGACAAAGACCCTCAGACATTTCGCCCGCAACTTTTAATACTTTGAGATTATCTTGAAGTGTGGTAATTTATTTTTAATTAAATTGGAATTGCGGATATGATGGAAAAAAAACAAAATTAAATCCCATTGTTTTTTCTTCTCCATTGTCAGAAAATATATTTAAATCGCAATCGCAAAATCAATAAAATATGTATTAAAGGCAAGATAATTTAAACAGAGTATTTTTAAGTTGATATATAAGTTCTTTCTTTAACACATCACCACTTCTTGTGCAAGTAAATATGAAAATATTTCACACAAAAATATTATCTCTGCACTTTGCATTTATAGAAAAAGGGAAAGAGGAGAAAGAGGTAGAGATTACTATTTTTGGATGAGCGGCTTCTGTTTCATATAGTAAACACAGCTGGAACCTTTATATTTTCATTTTTGTTGGATTCCAGCTGAGTTTTTGCTTATCTAATGCACTTCTCCCCCATGTGTTCTCTCTCGCTCGCACACTGCTGCTCTTATCTCAATGAATCATTTTGTTGATTTTGGATTTCCTAACGCATAAATACACAGAAATGTATATAGCCATCATACAAAAACAATGCAATATAAAATTAATATTTAAAAAATGTTGTTTGTTAAATTGTTTATATAATTACAATTAAATGTCAAGTATTCCTACTTTATTAGTTATACATCTCTTTTATTTTGCATAACATTTTTTTCAGTGTATCCACAGTAACCAACTCTCTCCCTCACTCCGTTTGCTTGTCGCTGTAGTTGTTAATTGCTTGCTGCTACTTTCTTGGACTCACACTCTCTTTAACCCCCTCTCCAACTCTCCCACTCTCTATCCCCTCTCTTCCAACGGTTAATCACTGCACACATCAATGTGGTAGTTGTTGTTGGCTTTGCTTAATGGGTTTTTATTTGTTTATGCATATACATATGAGTACCAAGATGAGGGATGCCCCCTGCTGACCACTCTTGTTCTCCCTGCCGTTCTATATCTATAGCTATCTCTATCTATTTAACTTAGCAATAGTCGCCGCTTTTCTTTTTCAAGACCCATGGGAATTTTTACAAATGTTTTTAACGACAAGTGCTCTTTGCAAAAGAAGGCGTTGGGTGGCTAGAATTTCCAAATACTTAAATGGGCGTGACAGCCAAAGTTTTTTTTGATTTTTGCCCTCTTAACTTTGGTTATTAATTATCTGTTTGTTTGGCTTCCTTAAAGTTTTTAAAACAAATCGAAGGGGAGAAAAGCAGAGGGTAAATGTAGGACAACGCTTTTGCTTTTATGATTAATCTTTTGCTGATGTGCTCCACATTTTATAAATGTAATAATTCAAACCAAGTATATAGAATCTAAATAAGTATTCTCGAAATGAAACCTCTAAAATATATAAGAGATTTAAAAACATTTGTTCAACCTATTTAAATAATTTTTCTTTTTGTTTTAGGTAAGGCTTTGTACACACTTAAACATACAAAATTGCTTGTAAGTAAAAGGTTTTAAATTCGAACAACATTTGCATTCAATATATTTTTCCTCAAGCCATTTCCCTCATCCTTCATAACAAACCATCAATCAAAGCCCTTTATTTATTTCATATGTCAAAATTTGAAATGAATTAAATATTTATTGACGAAAAAGTTCTTCAATTTCACTATCAATTTTTACCCCACATATTCCTCGGAAAACATCAAATACATCTGTATACAATCCCAAACTTAATTAACATTGGAGCGGAGGGAAAATGTCATTTCATAATTTCGATTTTTGACATTTGCCAGGGTGCGATGGATGCAGTTTTTGCGGGCTGCGACTAATTAACACATTTATAGAGTGACAAACATGATGTACAGACATAGGGAGAGTGGTTCCTATAGCCCTCATAAATGCACGATCTGTTCCTGTTTATTGGGAAACCTACTCAAATGACCCCGGGCATTAACATTTGTTGTTGCGTTTGTAATTATGCACAAACCGAAAGGGACAACTGTTGACATTTTCAATTGTCCTCATTTATTGCGACCCCAAAAATGTTTGCTAATTAAGCAATCAAATAGTTGTCGCTTCGGTTATGAACGTTTTCAAGAAGGAATAAACTGTTGTTAGGAGTTAAAACAAAATCGAAAGAGGATTAAAATTTAAGCTCTGAACCGTACACTTTAAGGTTTAATTTAAAATAATAAAAAAATATGATATGTTGTTTTTGTATGTAGGACTTTTAAAAACTCTTCTGGTGAACAGGAAAAAGAAAATATCTGAGTCAAATAGAGTGGCGGACAAAAGGTCGAGAGTTCAGCGAAGAGATACGGACAAAAATACGGACGGCGAGACGTGTGCCGCCAAAGCTTTTATAGCTGTCGCCGTTCACACAATGCGGTCCGAAACAAATATAAATCAACTCCGAAGGCAGAGGATCCCCCACCGCTTTTCACTATATGTCGAGAGACAAAAGATCCCGCCCGACAAAAAAAAAAAGAAAGACAGCGAGATAGTTGCTGGTTTTTGTTTATTTATTCATCGATTTTAATACACTGACGCGGACAGGGGAGTGAAAAACTCCTTGTAAATGGAAATGCATTTTCGATAAACCATTGGAAATTGATTTTCCCCCGCCAACAACACCTTTTCGCCCCTTCCCCTATTTTCCGACTAATTGTGCGTGCGTGTGTGTGACGTTGGGTGGCATTTTCCTTTTTGGTTTTTGGAAGCTGCATTGTTTAGGACTCATTGATTTCCAGCTGTTTCCCCCGCTGATTGTTTGAAATTAATTTCCCCCTAAACGAATTTTCATTGTAATTTTAATATTCATTTTTTTGTGGTTGCTACAGTTGATGGGTGTTCTCGTTTTATGGCTATTTTTATGTTTTAATATTTATGGTTTTTAATGCTCCATATTTAGTGGTTTCATTTGACTGCCGCTTGATACATGTTTCTCCTGTTTCCTATCCCCTCCCTCAGTTCAAACAGTTTCTCTTTTATAGGCTTGTTCGGCAACGGAAATTGATCGTAAAATCCCACACTGGCTCCTAAAAAATTTCACACGCTGTAGGGAAAGGCAGTGGGAAGGAACTAGTTAGCAGCGAATGTAATTTAAGCCCTTCCTATAACAATATTTATACTCAGGCGAGGGATTGGAAATCGAAAATCTTTATAAAAATGATTAAACACATTCTTTTTTTAACCTCGCTTGGTTTATCACATCCTTACTACTAAAATATTAGAAAAAATATGTTGAAAATGTAAAGAACCTTTCCTTAACTCCTCAGAATATTTCCTTTTTTGTGTTGATCCCATCAATATAAGACTTCCTCTCCTGCAGCCTGCACTTAGCCAACTGGAGTGTAAACAATAGAAACCAAAGATGAAGAAAATGTAGTAGAGCTGGCCATAAAAGCAAGTGCAACACTTGATCAGCTTAAATCAAACAAAATGAGGAATAACATTTTCACTCACACTTTTTCGCATTTCCACTCACTCGCTAACAAGTCAAGTCAACTCGACATGTCGGTGGATGGAAAAGGGGGCGGAGAAAAGTGGGCGGGGTGCGGTCGTTGAACGTCCAAGTCGGTGTACTTTATATGTCTCTG